CATGCTGGTCCAGCTCCCCGCTGAGGCCGCTCTCCTGGGACCCACAGGGACCTTCCACCAGGCCTGGGTTCCATAGAAGCGCCTCACCTCGGGGTGGTAGGTGCTATGTATCTATCAGACTAGGACCCATGGGTGCCTGATGAATCTACAAAGGTAGTTATAGCAGACAGTTATAAAAATGATGCCCACACAGCGTGAACTTTGTATCTTGGCTTTGAATATGCAAATGAGTACTTGTCAACCTGTCTTTGGGTCAGAGGCCATGATCTTCTCTGTGACCGTGGGTCTGTTTGGTGCACCGGGCAGTAACTTTAAAAATAACCCTGCTGGGAGACTGGAGACTGGAGGCTGAGCTGGAGAGGAAAGGACCAAGGCAGAGGGATGTCAGAGGCTCTGGCCAAGGAGGGGATGACCAAGGGCGCGTGGAGGTGTCACAGCCGAGGGGGTGCAGCTGTTGTCCACAGAACCAGGCTGGGCCCTGGGAATACAGAGTGGATAAGACATAGATGGACCCCAATATCCCAATTAGACCCAGGCAAGAAAAGAACTCGCCCTTGGGATTTCAGCACAGTTCATATGGGGAGCTGGTTACCCAAGTGAGGAAGGTTCCCCAGGTGTCGCCCTGAGATGACACAGACCTGAAAACAACTGGGGAAGCAACGACCACCCCGTGGAGTTGAGAGAACAGAAGGGGAAAAGTGCGGAAGGAGCAGGACAACAGGAACTGCATGCTCCTGCCTGCGTCCCACACTCCGTCTAGCGCCCCCTGCTGGCGGAACCTAACAGGAAGCTAGCTGCAAGGGAGTCCGGGAAATATGGTTTGTAGACTTCCAGCCCCAGCGTCGCAGAGTATGGTGACCGAGGGCTTTGAGACAGACCCTGCCTCATGAAACAGATACTGATGGGGTAGAGGGATGTCAGGCGTGACTTGCAGGTTCCTACTGCAGGGGCTGAGGAGCCAGGGTAAAGGCTCAGTTGGAAACCAACTGAGTCTGAGATGCGTCCACAAAGATGGGGCCAGCACAGCACTGGAAATGTGACCCTGAGCTTAGAGCAGAAGCGAGCCTGTCGCTTACCCTATGAAAAGACCCTGGCGTGTGACAGCACTTACCTACTTCACCCTGCTAATGGGATCACCTGCACGGCTCACCTCTCTTGTGAAAATGCTTGCTCTGCTCATTCCTGGTGGAATTGCACCTTTCGTAGGAAAGCATTTGCGCTTTTGCATTTCATGCTTGGGTATGCCATTGATTTTTCTAATTTCTGTAGACTTAATTCAGAATATTTCCCTGTTAGACCTCAAAGACATCTGGCCTCCTCCCAGCTGCCCAGCCTGGTGCAGTAAGCATCGGGGTGACCAGCTGACCAGGTGGAGGGTGGCAGACCCTCGCTCACCACACCATCGAGTCACATCTATTTCAGACAATAACACACAAAGCTGTGGGTCTGACCAGCTGGAGAGGCGCAAGTGCACTGTGCGTGTGAAGACCCATAGGGGCCACTTTTAGTCGGATGTGTTACTTGTTTGGACGTGGCCACCATTCTTTCTCCATTAGTTCAGAGCTTGCTAATGTCACAGCATTTGATCATGTTCAGATTTGTGGCCTCAGCCACATTTGTGCACAAATAAATGTCCTACCATCTCAACCTCTGTCCACTCCAGACCAGCCTGCTCACTGCTGCCAGAGGGCACGCACTACCACCCAGCTTTAATAGCGCTGCTCCCCAGCTCCAGAACCCTCGCTGGCTCCCCAGTGCCTTTAGAATGAGGCATTAACTGCTAGAGCCTTATTTAAATTTGCTTTTCTTAAACACATCTTTCACTAGCTCACTAGTTCTTCTTGAGCCTGGAGCACAAGCCCACCCTTTGAAATCCTACCATCGGTCAGACCCATTCAGATGGCGTCTTCATTAACCCTTTGTAGACCCTGATTCCCACACTGTGCCTGGAGAGCTCCTCCTCTCCTAATGGAACTGAGCAACTATGTGCTCAGTTGGTTGGGCCTAATCCTGGGCACTGAAAGGTGGCCGGTTCGATTCCTGGTCGGGGCATATGCCCGGGTTGTTGGCTCAATCCTGGAGGCTGCCGATGGCTGTTTTGCTCTCATGTTGATGTTTCTCTCTCTCCCTCTCCCTTCCTCCCTCTCTCAAAATCAATTTTAAAAATCTAAAAGTAAGTAAAAAAATAAAATGTGTGTTTAGCCGGCAAGGCTCGACAGTTTAAAAACTGTCAGTTCCAAGGGATTGTTAAAGCTTATGTGTAATTAGCTCAACCACACACAAGCCACACAGGGTGTCCCCAGTAACTGTGAATCTCTCTGTTTTCTAGTTCCTTCCACAGAGGGCGCATTCCGCCAGCCCCGCCTGCGTGACCCCACACGGAACTGTTCTACACCAGACCCTGGACTTCGATGAGTTCGTCCCCCCTCTGCCGCCTCCCCCCTACTACCCTCCCGAGTACAGCTGCACGCCCACGGCCGACGCCCACAGGTGGGTCTGTCGTCAGTGCCTCGGTGACAGGGACTGACATCGGGGAAGGTGGGAGGTGATCGTTGGCACATACAAGTGGCAAAGGCCAGGCTCATTTTCGGTGCAGAAGCTGAGCAGAGGGAAGCAGGCGAGAAAAGCAGGTTTGGGTAGAGAACAGAGCGTGGCCCGCAGAGGGGAAAGGGACTCGGAAATAGAAGTTTTGGAAACAAAACATAAAACCCAGCCAGTCGTTGGCAGCTCTGTTACGTTCTCATGAAACCCAGAGCCGCTGTTGAATCACAGCCCCTGATAGCACATGTAAATGTTAATTAAAGATGGAATCAGCTGTAGGGTCGCTTTGATTTTAATAGACAGGGCCATCGAGTTGATTAAAAATGGTGCTATCTTCCCAGAAAACAACAGCTAAAACTGCCTAGTGAATTAGGCTTTTATTTCGCAAACACGATGAGTGTCCGACCAGGGGAAGCGGACAAGCGACGTTCTGATTGCTTTGAGAGAAATGTCACCGTGCGGGCTGCTCCCCGGTGAGTGACAGACGGTTGATGGTTCTGCCTTCGCAGGGGCCTCCACCTGGACTTCGCTCCCTCTCCGTTCAGCACCTTGTATGACGTTGTCGCCATCAACAGCCCGGGCCTGCTCTACCCCGCTGAGCTGCCCCCGCCCTACGAGGCCGTGGTGGGCCCAAGCCCAGCCAGCCAGGTGAGGCCGGGGCCTAGACAAGCGGCTCCCTGTACGGGGCCGGCTGCCTGCATGTGCCCCTCTCTGAGCCTCTCAATAGGCCTGTGGGTGCGGGTCTCATTAGCCCTGTGGTGGGCGGGGGCAGCAGGCTGAGGGCAGAGCCTGGCATCCAACCCCCATGTATGTGCCTTTTCCCCCAATGTCTGAGCCTAACGCTGGCCTGTGTGTTTGGGGACACAGCATAGAAGTTGCTGGCACAGGCTCTAACCGTGGGGCTCCGGCCACTCAGGGGACTCTGGCCCGTGTCATTGTCACCTGGGAAGGTGAGACAGCAATTGAGGATCGCTGGTCCTGCCCAAGGCCTGGCAGCTGCAGGGCAGGGAGGTGCCCTTCTCTGAGCTGGATTTGCCGGCCACACTCACACCCAGTCTCAGCGTGCCCAGCCCACCCCACTGCAGGCCCTCAGGAGATGTTGGCAAAGCCTCAGTTTCTCCGTCTGTAAAGTGGGGTTGGTGACAGTAGTAAGCACACAGGGTGGAGTGGGGTGTTTGCAATGGACCCAGCCTGGGACTCGGCATATAGTTGGCTCCGACTCATCAGGGTCACTTGCCTTTTTTGGTTTTCTTGTCGAAGTAGCCAGGGTGGAGGCGTGGATGTCTGTCTGGCAAGGTCCCGTGGCACCCAGCGCAGGACAGAGCGGTTCAGGGCCATGCAGGTGGCCCTCGGGGGGCTTCAGGGATTGGGGGTCGGCATGGGGAGCACAGTGCTGAGCGGGGATGTGTGCGGGGAGCCGAGGAAACACGCTGAGAACCGGGCCAGTTCTGGGCCCCAACTCCAAGCAGAGGAGAGGGGACAAGCCATGGCCAGCAGTGAGGTTCCGAGGGCCCAGACTCGCGCACCTGTGGGCATCTCAGCAGCCGTGCAGCTCCCCTGACCTGCATCCCCACCTGGTCACCACCCATACCTGACCCAGACCCTCTAATGCCATCTCCCCCTCTCCTCGCTGCCCCTTTGAGATCAAGGGCCCAGGGGCAGGTTGGCCAGGTGGCTGTGCCCGCCCTTCCCCCAGCCACCCACTGGGAGGTCCTGGCCCTAAGGAACCTCTGTGGGTGGGGAAGGGTTGGGACTCAGCCTCGGAAACCTCTAGAGACAGTTGCGTCTACAAAGGTGACCCGTACTGGGTGGAATTTCCTTGCAGGGAGACATAGCCACAGAGCTTCCAAAGAAAAGGAAATGGGGCAGTTGGGCTCACTTAGCTCAAGGCCAATCGAGTTTTAATTACGGGACGGTCAGCCTAGCGCTGTCTGGGGATATGGGAAGGTGGGCTCTGAGTGTCCCACGTTAGGTTATCCCGGGGCCCCTTCTCCAGCACCCCCACCCCCTCTCCTGCAAGAGCCCCTCTGGGCCGTTATTGCTAAACTCAGGTTTCAACTTAAAGTCGATGCCACAAATATATTTTTTCTCCCCGGTTTCCACTGCCCTTGTATTTCATGGAAAACGCTGTGGGAACCGGGCAGCTACTCCCCCAGGGCGCTCGTGAGGGGTGGCTTTAGGCGCCAGGCAAGGCCGAGTTCAGATGAAACCCTGGCACCTGCTTGTGAGAGGTGACAGATGTGCTCCCAGGAGCTGGCTCCTCGCGGGTCCTGGTTTGACGCCTCCCTCACTGCCTTCTCTTTCCTGCTGTAGCTCCCGAGTACAGATCAGCAGGCAGCCGACACCGGCTCCCGGGACCCCAACGCTGCCACTGGCTTCAGCACACAAGGTAAATCTTTCCCCGTCAGGACTGGAGATGAGAAGTTTATACTTTGCAAAGGAGGCCGCTTTCCCTCCCCTCGCTGCACCCCCCCATCCATTCCGTACTCTCGATGGCACGGACTTGGCCGCAGCCTGTCTGTGGAGCTCCCTGCAGGCCCCCCATTCCCACTGATGACGGGAGCCGGCGAGATCCCCAGAGTGTCCTCAGCTTTGTAACGTAGGTGAACACAGAGCACACACTGTGAAGTTCGAGCACCTTCTTACTTGTCCACTCGTAGGTCAGCCTTTTGTCCATGTTTTACTCTTCCAGTGTTTTTTCGTAGATTTATAATATCTGTTAAATTGAGATGCGAGAAAGTGCGTCCGAGTTGCATTCACCCGACTTGCGTGCGGTTTGCACTTGCCCGGGCCCCGGGTGCCTTTGCTGAACCTGAGTCTCCAATTTCATTTTTAATTCTCACCTGCGGATATGTTTGTATTGATTTGAGAGAAACATTGATGTGAGAGGGGAACATCGGTTGGTTGCCTCCCGTATGCGCCCCGACCGGGGACTGAACCTGCAACCTGGGCGCGTGCCCCAACCGCAAATCGAACCCGTGACCTTTTGGTGCAGGAACAGCATCCAAGCAACTGAGCCATGCTGGTCAGGGCTGTTTTTTCGTTGTTGTCAAATCTGTTAGGCTTTTCCTTCGTATCTGGCTTACAAAGTCCTTCTCTGCCCCAAGGTTGTACATTTACTTTTGTAGATTTTCTTCCCCCATTTGGGGGGTCTTTTAGAAAAGCATTAACCATCCTGAAGAATTTGCATGTGAGCATCTGGTGCGGGAGGCCTGAGCCACCTTCCTGTTTTTCCAAATGCTCCCTGATCCCAAACATCCAGTGAGGTGCGGTGGCCGAGGGTGGCGGGTAGAGGAAGCAGCCCCGGGAACTGCGTCCCAGGCCCTGAGGTGCGAGCAGGTCCCCGGGGGTCTTGTTGAAACAGATTCAGGTTCTGCCTCCCCTCCCCAGGCCGAGAGCAGTGTCCACACAGCGGGGGCATCAGAACCCCCTGGGGGCTTGGTCGAGCCCTGTGGGCCCCGCCCGCCCCCGGGGTTTGTGACTCTGAGGGGCTGGGGCGGGGCTGAGAACCCGCATTTCTGACACACTCCCAGGTACCTGGGCTTCTAGAGCCGGCCGGGCATCCCTGGGCGGTGGCCCCACTGCCTGCCCAGGGGCTGCACTCCAGGAGCGGCTGGCACCCTGCCTGGGGCGCGGGTTCTCAGGCCCACCCCGACCGGCGGGGATGCCCTGGTGTCCCCACGGTCTCTGCCTGGGCCCTGCTCACCCAGCATCCTGCCACCCCGCCGTCCAGACCGTCACACCTGCCAAGGGCTGCCCTGGATGGCGCCCTGTCTGGTTCCTGACTTCTGGGCATCTGTGGCATGTGAAGTCCCCTGCACACCCCTCCTGGAATGATTCTTGGGAGGTGACCTGTTCCCCCAACTTTTCTACATGNCTGCACATAGAGCATTGGCCACCCCGCTCAGTGTTTCCACGCCCCCAGGGTCACAGCGTGTGCCCAGGCTGCCCACACCCTGGGGAGGGCTCTGATGGGTGTGTGGCAGACACCGTCCCTGCACCAGGTGGTGCTGTGTCACCTGGGCTAACGCTGTGTTCCTTGCCTTGCAGCACCTGCCGACAGCGCGAGCCTCCCCGTGTCCGAGGGTGCCACCGCGCCGGGCCCAAGCCGTCTCTCCCCTGGCGGCCCTGCGGGTGCCCTGCCACCAGCCCCTCACCCTGGCCTCCCCTCCCCCGAGGGCCCCGACCAAGGCACACGGGTGCGTCAGGGTCCTGGTCGAGTCGCCCGGTCCACCAGCGACCCTACCTCGTGCTCATCCAGGGCAGCAGGTAAGGGTGACCGAGCCCACCTGTGTCCCCTGCGTGTGTCTGGCTCTGCCCTGAGCACCCCAGGCCTCGGCGACCCCCTAGGCCCGAGGCCAGGCCCTGAGAGCCTGCCCGGGGCCACCGTGAGAACAGGGTCTGATGCTCCAGGTCCCTAAGGGAGGTGGACAGTTNCACCTGTGTCCCCTGCGTGTGTCTGGCTCTGCCCTGAGCACCCCAGGCCTTGGCGACCCCCTAGGCCCAAGGCCAGGCCCTGAGAGCCTGCCCGGGGCCACCGTGAGAACAGTCTGATGCTTAGGGACCTGGGTCTGATGCTCCAGGTCCCTAAGGGAGGTGGACAGTCGGGGGCCCAGTTGTGCCACCGCCAGGCTTGCTGCTCTGGCCAAGGAAGGGAGATGGGAAGTTGGGGGAGATGAGAGCCCACCGGGAGCGTCAGCCAGACCCCGGCCTGAGCCTCCAGGCTGCACCAGCTCTGGGCCCAGGAAGGGCCGAGGGTCAGGCTTTATCCAGCCATTAGCCTTGCTGGGCTCCACCCGCGCTGGCCTGGGCTGTGCCCCTTGACGCCTGNGCCTGGGCCTCCAGGCTGCACCAGCTCTGGGCCCAGGAAGGGCCGAGGGTCAGGCTTTATCCAGCCGTTAGCCTTGCTGTGCTCCACCCACGCTGGCCTGGGCTATGCCCCTTGACGCCTGCCGCTGTGGCCGGCCGGGCTGCCTGGTGGTCAGAACCACCCCACGTGACTCTCAGAGTGGGCACTGCCTTCCCTGGGCTGAGAACCGGGTGCCAGGGTCGCTGTGCCCCACATCCCAGGAGTTTGTATTTCCCACTGGGGGCTGCCAGGANCGCAGTGGCCGGCCGGACTGCCTGGTGGTCAGAACCACCCCACGTGACTCTCAAGAGTGGGCACTGCCCTCCCTGGGCTGAGGACCTGGCGCCAGGGTCCCTGTGCCCCACATCCCAGGAGTTTGTATTTCCCACTGGGGGCTGACTGGGNCGCTGTGCCCCACATCCCAGGAGTTTGTATTTCCCACTGGGGGCTGCCTGGGGGACGGGGTCTGAAGTTGGAAAACCGGCCGCCTCCTGGGTCACTGCTGGGGGAGGGGAGGGTGGCCAGGCTGTTGCTGTGAAGATGGGTGGCCTTGGACCACGGTGCCACTGCCGTGGGCACTTTGTCATAGATGGAGGTAAATGACCCCTTAGAGGTCCCGTGGGGGCCTGGACCAGTCTCGCCCGAGGGGTCTTGCTCAGCTGGACCCTAAATAGAATAGGTCCCAGGGGAATTGCCCCGGAGAGGAATCAGGAGCCCACAAGGTCACTGCCTGGAAATGTTGAATTTGCGCCTGTGGGTCCCTGGGCCACGGTCCCTGTCTCTGTCCCCTCCCTCCACCCACCTCCCGGCTCACATAGGTGGGGCCCGAACATGCCCTTCTGGGGGTNTGGGGCCTGAACATGCCTCTCCGGGGGTGTCCCGGGCTCACACCTTCTCTCCGCCCTGTCAGAGTGAACCCGAGTCCACGTTCAGACACCGAGGGTCAGGGAGGACCCCACGCACGTGCGGGACCCGCTCTGTGGCCCCTGGCGGCGGTCTTTGGCCCGTCCCCTCTCAGTGACGTCCATGCTCTGCAAACCAGGACATTTAGGGAGGGAGAGCAGAGTGGGTGTGACCCCAGGTGTCACAGTGTCTTCTCTGCGTCCCCCACCCCACGCTGCCTCACGGGCCAAATGGGACGGAGGCACCTGCCTCCGAGGTCCCCGCAGACCCCGAGGCGGATGGTACCGAGGGAGGGGCGGTTGGTTTGTGGCCCTGGTGATGCCCGCCCCGGGGACACGGCCTGCCGTGCGGGTGCCAGGGCGGGGCTGCTGCTCGCCGCCTGCGCGGGCCTTGGTGGCTCTCGGCCACGGGAGGTTGTGTGGTGTTAGGAGAGCCCTTTGCCTTTCCTGCGCTAACTGAATCCTCTCTGTGGCTGAGACGGTGCCTCCCGCAGCCCGGACCTGGAAGCGGGACCGTCTCGGGCTGGCCCGGGCACCGGTGAGCCCCTTGTTTCCTAAAAACACTTGGACACCTGCTGCGAAACGGGGAGGCAGGGCGACTAGTGGTCCTCGGCTGCCTGGGGCTAAATCCAGCTCCTCACAGCGCCCCCCAGAGCGCGGGGTCTCCGCTGTCTGGGCTTTGAGGGCACAGCCCCCCCGCCCTTCGCTCTGGGTGGGGCATCAGAGGCTGGGAGTGTCACACACAGATGCTGCCGGCCTTGCCGTGTTGATGACACTCTGGAGGAGCGTGGGCCCCACGCAAGAGTGTTTGTTCCTCAGGCGTCATCGTGGGCTTTCTGGTTGTAAAATACCCCCGACCCAGGATGCGTTTCTTTCGTGTCACTTGAAACGTAAACAGGGCAGGGCAGGCTTTAACGTGGCCCTTGGCGCGTCGGTCACTGGGAGTGACATGAGACCAGTGCCAGTGGTCATTCAGGGGGCCATCCGGCCGGCGTGGGCCCTGTTGGGAGCTGGTGCCGTGTCCCTGCCCTTGGCCTGCTGGGCACTGGGACAGGGCCCTGGGGGCTCTGAGCTCTGCGGCCCGTCGGGGCTGCCATCCGCTCGAGGCGGTGGCGGGGTCTCTCCTTGAGCCCTGGTCTCGAGGCAGACGCGTCTGCAGATGCCATCAGCCCCACGAGGGCACAGCATTGCCCTGCTGTGAGCTCCAAGATTCTAGCAGGGGGACAGAGGGGGACCCTGCCCTGACGGCCTCCTCTCCCTGGCCCGCTCTGGTTGTGCCCGTCTGCAGTCAGCTCCTGGAAGCCGCAGCCCCTGAGGTTCGATGCCATCTTAGCTCACACCAGGGAGAGACGGGACAGCGGAAGCAGGGAAATGCCCAGACGCCAACCCAGGACCGAGACTCCCAGCAGAAGGCGCGCCCCAAGCTGCTGTGTCGGCTTTTCAGGAATTTGCTGGGCAGCTGCTTGTGTCCTGTTTCCGTTCGGGTTCTCAGATGTTCTCTTTTCCCTTGACTTCCAGTCTCCCGGTCTCGCTCTGTCACGGTGGCCTGTGCCCGGCGGCACCCGCCTTCCCCACCCGGGGACGCAGACACCCGGAAACCCCAGCAGCGCCCAGAGCCCGAGGCTTCGCGCGTGATCTCCAAAGAGCGGCCGCGCTCCGTGGTGGACAGCAAGGCCCACGCAGACGCCAGGGTTCTGGTGGCTAAATTTTTGGAACACTCCCACTGCCCCCTCCCTCCCGAGGTGCGGCGCGCGGTGGGCGCCATCCGCTCGGCGGTCGCCTCCGAGGAGCGCCACGTGGAGGAGGCCATCTTCAGCGCGGCCGTCCTGGACCAGGTGTGACAGTCACAGGTGTAGACGCTGACACGGACAGGCCTGGGGTCACACTGGACTTGCTGGAGGCCCCTGTGCTCGTGGGAAGGACCTCGGGGGATCCAGTCGATCGTTTAC